GGGGGCTGTTGGATATTTGGTAGGTTTGTTGTTGTTGGTTTTTTTTGGGGGGGGTTGTTGTTGTTGTTGTTGTTGTTGTTTATCATTTTGTTTAGGTGTTTCTTTTTTCTGCTTGTTTGGTTATTGTTTAAGTTTATAGGTTTATTGTAGTAAACGTGAGCCGTTCTGAGACGGAGGGGTCGTGTGTGTCAACAGGCAATTAGGGGAGACAGCACGTGTATTATTTCGAGAAATTACTATATACGGGTTAACCTCCCTTGCTTTGGAGTTGGTCCACCGATGAAGACCTGTAAGCTTTGCAAACAGTCATATTTTTATAGTACTGTTTGATTAATATAAGTACATAGGTGAGGGGGTGGGGGCAGAAAGTGGAGACGAAAGCAAATGAAAGAACATTGATAGAGAGCAAGAAAGGAGGTGAGAGGAGAACATTTTAGAGTAGAAAATTTTCCGTCGCTATCCGGATACAAACCTGGGACCTGCTATTAAATGAGAGGAGAACACTTTAACCACTAGGCCACGAGAGACCTCTCCCACACGTACATTCACAAAGAGGTAACTCGCGGGCTCTCGTGGCCTAGAGGTTAAGGTGTTTGTCTCTCATTCAATAGTTCTCGGGTTCGAATCCTGAAAGTGACAGAAGTTTTTCTTCTCTATAATCGTCTCCTTTCACATCCTTTCCTGCTCACTAGCAATATTCTGTCGTATGCTTTCACCTCCACTCTCTGCCCCCACCCCTCACCTCCCTTGCCCCATCCTCTGGGCTCCTGACTCTTCTGCAGCATTTCTACTGCAACTCCTTGGCTCCTTCTTACTGTTGTCTTTCAGTCACACCCCTGATCTTATGGTAGGAAAGATCTACACCTAGCCTTCTCAGACAAGGGCGAAAAATCTTGGAGGTCCCATGTGCAAGTTGCGCACATTAAAGATCCTTTGGTGGCCCAAAATCGAAAAAAGTAGGCTTCATCCGCCACCCGGGCAAAATTCCAAAATTTCCTAACGACTGAAAATGTTTAATGTGTCCCACAAACTCATTTGACCTTATGCAGTTGTGAGCGCCATAAAATATATACCAAAACAAAACATGTAAGTCAAAGACATAAAACAACATGGTGAATTCATTATACATTATTTTTTATTGAATCATCAAGTAACCAGTTATGGCTTTTCACTACATTAACAATATTAGTAGCTGCAATAATGAAGCAGAAAAGTACAGTACAATAAAATGTGACCTGTCCCAATGGTTCAGTCCATTGGGTACATCAAGCTGAACAGCTAAAATTGCCAAAAACACTTGTTGGGTCTAAAAATGAGTCTTCTTTTTGTGTTGCATTTTTAGACTTTTGAATTACTTTTCTGATGGAAAAATCTATTTAAAAATCTTTAAAATTTGCTGTTAAATGTGTTTTTAAAGCTATTCAGGAGAATGTCTTTGTTTTGTGTTGGAGGTATTTGTCAATCTTTGATAGCAAATATCTCAGTATTTTGCCTCGGACAACATTGAAGCATTCCAAAATAGAATTGAGCGTCATTTCGTTCAAAAGTATCGTATTAATTCGATATTGGTGACATATGAAGGGAAATTATGTCCTTCTTGTATCAGAACTAAAATTTCAAATGATGAAATCTGTACCTAGTGGACCAAACCATTGGAACTCGTCACATATGTCCTCAATGACAGAAAAGTTGATATCAGATTTGATTCGACTTACATTCCACTCCAACAAGAAGTTGAGAAAAAATTTTTCTACTGTAATCATTACAATGATCTGCTAGTATATTTTTTCACTTTAGATAAACTTTTCTTTCGCACAATCACACCCGACGTTCTGCTTCAGAGCAACAAAACAAATGCAAGGCAGCGTGGTGAAATCAGGCGCTTGTCAAAATAATCAAAGTGAAGAAACGGGCATTTTCCCGCAAGTTTTCTAATTTTTATCTATTTTTTTTCCTGGCTCAACAACTTTTATATCCGTCTAAAAACACATTTCTGTGTGGACATTACTGAAAATATAGATTAAAGGCACAAATAATATCAATTTTCAGTTTACAAGGACTCTCAAGCTATGGAAATTACAAAATTTTGGAGGCTATTTTCTCGCTAATTTGACCTCTGAGACCAGGCGATCCTGACCTCCTTCAATCGCAAATATCTCGACTTCTATGCAAAATAGATGGATACTTTTTTCACCGAAAGCAGGGCAAATGAACAGGCTTAAAGATGATATCAATGACTCAATACGTCCAAAAATTGACGATGGCCTGACTCCACCACATTGCAAGACAAATGGTCGCTTTTAAGCACAAGGGGGGCTATCCCGAAAAATGATGTTTTGGGAAAATCAAAGTTAAAGTCTTTGCCCCTTGTTCAGTTTCTTTAAAAGACAAGGAGAGTTTTCTCAGTAACTAAACAGATATACACACCAATGACACCAAACTTTTCCTATAGGTAGGGCATGCCCACTTTTGGTGGGTGAAGGTCAAGATTTCTGGAAACCCCCAAATCTGGGTGAGCTCGCTTGTCCTTAAAAGTGACCAAATGTCCTCATTGACAGAAGTTGATATCAGATTTGATTCGACTTACATATCACTTCAACAAGAAGTTGAGAAAATCTTTTACTACAGTAATCATTACAATGATTTGCTTGTATTGTATATGTTTCCCGTTCAATAAACTTTCCTTTCACACAATCACACAAGACGTTCTGCATCAGAGCAACAACAAAATTTAATAGCCATAGCTAGATCTCTTCATGAGATTCTTTAGGCAAAAACAGAACGATAAGAAATGTATTTTAGTTTTAGTAGTTTCAGTAAGGTTTTTACGGCGCTCGCAACTGCTCCAAGGGGTGGATGTCAACAGAGAAGTCCAAATGGGGAATCAGGCTTACTCTGCTCACCACTCTAGCCTCAACAGCACAAAGTCTGCTTTGACTATTAAGGCACCCCAGAAATAGCAGTTCACAAGAGAGTGAAAAACATAAAAGAAGTAGAAGAAAATGACGAAAGTAAGGATAAGGAAAGAAAAATAAGCAGTTCCCCCTATGTTGTTTCGGCACAGTATGAGCATGACATTGACAAGTCAGCCCATTTAAAATTCTACTGTGCATAAGAACATGTTAATGTCTCCCCTTTGGGAATGGCCTAAAGACACTTCAGTCAGTGGCATTGCCATGGGAGGGGGGGGCGATAAGAAAAGGGAAGGACAAAAGAGAATGGACAAAATAGAAAAATGACCTACAGTGCAGCCTCTCTAAAATGACATCGTCGGGACCAGACAAAAATGTCATTATAGTATAGACAGTTGTTGTTATAGAGAGGCAACCAAAAATATTACTAATGATATATATAAGGAAAAATTCGGGCCCTGGGCACTATGTCGCTATACAGAGGAAGTCATTATATTGAAGGTCATTATAGAGAGACTGCACTGTACTTTTGGCATCCTGTTTACCACGTCACTCCACACCACATATCTCACAAAAACCTCCTCTAAGAAAAAATGAACATTTTGCTCAGCTCACAACAAATGCAATGTACATTCAGTCTAACAGAATCAGACAGGCGTCAATGGACTCATAGCTATTCTCTTCACTTTGACTAGCACATAAACGAAGGGGTTTTTGATTAACCAAAAAAAAAAACTTTCATTTTTAATTTGAGATGAAGCCCGCATAGGTTGGGTTCAGGACTTTACATCTTACTAGACATATACAGGTCTTTGCATTGTCTGAGAACTTGGAAACACTGTAATACTCTTTAAAAGAAGAAAAAAAAGGAACGGAAGAAAAGAAATATGATTCATACATTATGTCAATATCACGAGTGTCGATAGATGTCCGTTCGCCTTGCATCGCCTTTTATGAAGGGTTCCATCTTAAGCACATGCGACGTACCAGAAAGACAACAAACATCAAAAAGTAAAGGATATGTTGAGAAAGGGGGTGGGGCCATTGGTTTCCACATGGTTAATAGTATTAATACTTTTTAAAATTTCCTATCTATTTCAATTTTCTAAAAGTTAGTACAGTAGTTTTATTCTTGCTCACACATACCTGCAAAAGGGACACAAGGAAAAATCAAAAGCTCAAAATGCAAACACACATTCACAAATATAAATAAAAACACACATACACACACACACACACACACACACACACACACACACACACACACATACATGCGCGTGCATGCACACACAGTTTATATGGCCGCTTTTAAGCACAAGGGGGCTATCCCGAAAAATGCTGTTTTGAGAAAATCGAAGGTACAGTTTTCTCTATAACCAAACAAATAATAATATACACACCAATGAAACCAAACCTCTCCTATAGGTAGCGCAATGCCCACTGTTAGTGTAGGTCAAGGTTTCAGGACACCCCCGAAATCTTGGTTAGCCTGCTTGTCCTTAAGAGTGACCATATGCAAGTGCACACACACGTTAATACACAAACCACACACACAAACAAACATTCGTTCAAAACTCCGACATAGACTTGAGTAGCTCTTCCTTGCTCAGCTCCCTGACAGGGCCTGAGAACAGCTCTGCCCTCATCTCCTCTGTCTCTGGGTTCGAGTCTACATTCACATCAGGTGGTATGAACTCGCGCTTCGTGGGATGGGCGTCCGTCTCTCCAGCAGTCACGTGAGCTTTGTGCGTCTCGCTGCGTGTGCCGGGGGCACTCAGGGGGCGTGTCTTCCCGCCACGTATTTTGTCCAGCGGACCGCCCACAGCTAGGTTCACATTGGCACGTTGTTTGGATTTGATCAGTGTCTGGAAGGAGAGAGAAAAAAAAGGGAGAAAGCTGATTAATTTCTGAGATGTTGTGCAGATAAAGAAATTTGTAAACTAATAGAGTATTTCATCATAGTCATGGTTGTAGCTGTAGCAGTGGAAATCGTAGTAACAGTTAGTAGTAGCTGTACTGCTGTAAGCTGACAAAACCACTTTTTCTTATTTACTGCTGTTTCGAGAAAAAGAGGGGGTTTTGTCAGTATAACCATTGAAAAATAGAATGCTTCCTAAATTTGAATTCTAATTAAATTTTTTTTTTAAACGAGTCAGTTTCATTTTGATTTTTTCCTTTTCACACAAGAAGGGTAACTGATCAGGCTTTCGATTTAGCGAAAAAACATTTTTGGCGCCAAAAACGCAAAAAGGCGTTCTGTCAGCTTACTGCAGAGTAGTGGTGGTGGGACTATTATCATCACTATCATTCGTCACTGATGTTGTTCTAGCTGCTATTGTTACATAAGTTTTTAGTGTCAAAGAACATCTTTAGTTTTAGAAGAGGTTTTACAGCGCTCGCAACTGCATAAGGTCATAAGAGTGCCAGAAGATTAGAGCTGTTACAAGAGAGTAACAAACATAAAAAAGAAGAAGGGGAGATAAGGACGATAGAGGTTTGATAGGAAAGAAGAAGCAAACCCTACCAGAGCACCCGCCAACCACCCACAAAGGACATTTGTACATCGTGTTCAAAAACGTCTATACATAGTGTCAAAGGATGTCTGTACACAGAGTCAAAGGACGTCTATACAGAGTGTCAAAGGATGTTTATATAGAGCGTCAAAAGATGTCTATATAGAGTGTCAAAGAATGTCCATACGGGATGCAGAAGATGAGTTGGGCAGAAAGTGAAGATGATGTGATAATGCTGACATTGCTTAATAAACAGTAAGGGCCAACTACTAAACGACATAATCATGTCCAGTAGGGTTTCAGAAGTTTTTCTGTAAAAAAAATTTTTTAAGCAAACGAAGAGCAAAAGCTCTGCAAGTACTGACTAGATAAATAGTAACAGCATCAACAAGAACTTATCACAACAATAGTAGCAATAAAATACATACTACACACAACTCCTCCCCCCCCCCCCCCCCCCCCCCCCCCCCGCCACGGGACGAAAAAAGACAAGATAATGACAATAAAAAAACTAGCAGCAACAGGAAAAAGCAAACATGATCGCTTCACCAACAGAAACCAGAACAATTTGGGAGGCAGCGTGGGGAAATCAGGCGCTCGTCAATACAATGAAATCAGAGAAATTGGCATTTTTGGGGACCGATGGGCAATATTTTTCTTATTTTCTTTTTTTGGCTCAGCATCTTTTCTGTCCACTTAAAATCACATAGTTGTGAGGATTTCACTGAAAAACATTGATTAGAGGTACAAAAATTCTTAATAGTCAGTTTCCAAGGACTCTCAGGCTATGGAAGTTACCAAACTTTGGCAGCCATTTTCTCGCTAATTTTACATCTAAAACCAGGCGACTGTTACCTCCTTCAATAGCAAATATTTCGACTTCTCACTCAACATAGACGGACATTTTCTTTACCATAAGGAAGGCAAATTAACAGGCTTTAAGATGATACCAATAACTCTACATGTCAAAAAGATCGACAAGCGCCTGATTCAACCGCGTCGTGACACATATATTATAACAATGACATACCTCCATCGCTTCTTTGGCTGTCTTCACCCTCTGGGAAGTCTGGTTGTCTGTATTGGATTTTTCATCAAACAGTTCTCCGCATTTTTGGACAAACAAGCGCCTGCGGGAGACACACAGACGCACACCCATTGTCACAAACATTATATAATATTATGAAAACAACAGTGGAGAAATGATCAAAGTTACATTTTCAGGTTTAGAGAATATCAAAACTTACAGTTTGACACCAACAGTACCAAAGGCTCATATAGTGAAAAGTACCAGTTTACAATGCTGAAACCGTGGTAGATTTTTTTTAAATTAAAAAAACCATGGTAGCCCAAGAAACACACTTTAAAAATTCAAAGAAGTTCATCAACCATTCAGCTATCAAACAGAGTGACTTCCTTTGATTTCCTTCGGTGCAGTGCGTCCATTCGCTGTTTAATTATGTTTAGCGTGCCTGGTTAAAGTCGCCAGTGGTACTGTGAGTGTTAATCATGTTTGACTTTGAGAATTAATCTACTACATTCTCTTTTGAAATAAGTTCCTAGTGCAAGATCCAACCAGTCATATGGTCTGACAGTTTTTAAGAGCAAGCTTTGAGAACTAGAGGTACAGCTTAAAGTAATACATGTAGTTAAATGATTTCCACGAGCATCCAACATGCATTTTTTATCTCCCTTCCATCCTTCCTCCCACTCCCCCCCCCCTCCCCCTCTCTCTCTCTGTCTCCCCCCCTCTCTCTCTCTCTCTCTCTCTCTCTCTCTCTCTCTCTCTCTCTCTCTCTCTCTCTCTCTCTCTTTCTCTCACTCTCTCCCTCTCTCTTTCACACAGACACACACACACACGACCTACTTGAGTTCAGTGTTCTGTGTCATTAGTTCCTCCAGTTTATGTCTGTACTTGTCATCCACTTGCGCTACCCTCTCCTGAAACCTCTCCTCAAAATCCATCAGCCGCACTTTCTGAAAGGGCCACACATTTATAGAACAAGGGTCATAATTTTTTTACTGAATACTTTTTATTCAAAATCATCAAACTGACGCCCCATTCAAACAAATCAAAAAAAGGAAAGAAAAAAATTTATGCTAAATTTGAATATTACTCCACATACTGTTACCACATCGATCAAATTGCAAAGTAATAGACAATTTTAAAACATTTCAAAGTGTCTGAGATGTATTTTCAGCAGAAAGGAGAAACAAGTTATAAACAGACCAAAATAACTGAGCAGCAAGACAAGGTTAGGCCTCTATTATGAAAAGGGTCATAATTTTTCCTCATTACTTCTTGTTTAACATCATCAAACTGAAACTACATTAGAACAATTTTTTTTAAAGCAAAAACTGCGCTAAATTTGAATAAAACGTCCCGATACCATAACCATAGCTTGCTATCCATTTACACAATTAAAAAATCAGCGAGGTGTAAGCAATTGGTTAAAATTTGAAATTTTAGGAGAGAGACAACATTGGTTCAATCTTTCAACAATTGTACCTACTACATGTATCTTTTCATGCTTCTTCCATCATTAGAATGTGAGTTGTTACAAAATACTTCTTGAGCAACTTATACCACAGATTAAGAAACTGCTGTAAAAATCTTGTTCAAAAAGTTGAAATTAGTGCATATGTGAGGCATCGTGGTGAAATAAGGTGCTCGTCAAAGTAACAAAATTGGAGAAAAAAGCATTTTCCGCCAGTTTGGCAATTTTTATCCAATTTTGATTTTTCGGCTCAACCCCAATTACATCCATGTAAGAGTACATTTCCGTGTGAATTTTCCTGAAAAATTTTGATCAAAGGCGCAAAATATGTCATTTTTCTGTTTGCAAGGACACTTTCGTTATTAGAGTTACAAAACTTTGGCAGTCATTTTCTCGCTAATTTCACCACTGAAACCAGGCGACTACATTTCATTCAATAGTAAATATCTTGACTTCTATTCACACAAGATAGGTGGGGGGGTTTTCCCCTGAAAGCTATAAATAAGCTTTCAAATGATATCAATAACTCCACATGCCCAAAAATAGATGAGCGCATGATTCCACCACGTCGAGACACATTTGTACAGCTGTGCGACAGACCCATAACCGGTGCAACCATCAACATTCCACAGAGAGCGCCACCCGCCCCCAAGTCTCACCGCATCGGTCAGCATTCTCGTGGTACTGGTCAGTTTGATGCAGGTCTCGTTGTACGCCTCCTTCAGCTGATCCAGCTCGGACTTGGTCTCCTGGGGAGTACAGAATGACTCATCACTGGTCTGTTTTTAAATTAATCAGATGAATATTTGGAGTAATTTTCTTTTAGTCAGAACACAACGTTTTATGTTACTGTTGTATGTTGTACTGTACTGTAAAGCGCTCAGAGCCTGTGTTTTTTAATTAATCGAGGTTGAGAGCTATATAAATGTCATTTATTATTATTATAACGTCAATGAACTTTTAATGATTCAACGAGGTTGCAAGTGATGATGACATCAACTGAAATGAAAAGGAAGACACAAGGCAGTGATATAGAACAGAATAAAATGATGAGTGAGTGCACTGACAAATGAAACTACACGCATGAGTCCCCAAAGGACGCAGAGAGATAATGATGATAGGGCATGAACTGAATAATATGAGTAATACTACTAATAGGTTACAGGGAGGAGAAACGTAACAGGGGTGTGAGGAGAAAGTAAAGGACTTTAAGAACACAGACAAATATAACAGGGGCATGAAGAGAAAGTAAAGAACACAGACAAATATAACAGGGGCATGAAGAGAAAGTAAAGGACACATACAAACATAACAGAGGCATGAAGAGAAGAGAAAGTAAAGGACTTTAAGAACACATACAAACATAACAAGGGCATGAAGAGAAAGTAAAGGATACAGACATATTATATGTGTCATGACGCGGTGGAATTTTTTTTCTTCATGAGGGTGTATCAGACTGAATACAATAACCAAGTGTTGCCCATTTAGAGGACAGAAGTTTTTAACTTTGAACACAAAAAGTGAGTCTTAATGATCAGTACGTTTGAAAATGCATTTGAAAAGCAAATATCTGAAAAGGAATAATACATCGGAATCATCTTTTCTTTATCCAAACTTGTCTGTATTACCTCTAATTCTGCTGTTGTTTTCCGTAATTTTTCTATATCACCAGCAGCATTAGAAAATCTGCGTATCAGGCTCTGAGGAAAAAAATAAATTGAGAAAAATTAAGAAACCACAGTTGCTATGGCTATAAGAATGATTAAGAACTTTTCTCTGCACAAACAATCTTTTTTTTTAATCGTTACTTTGATTTGAACATAATCTTATTGCAATAAACAACCCTTTGCCCATTGCAGAGTACTTACAATTTGATTTCATGCAAAGGTATCATTGAAAAGTAATTATCATAATCATTAGCGTATTTGCATGCATACAATAATTTTGGTTCCTACATATTTTAACAGTGTTACAAAAGAGTAACAAACAAACAAAAAAAAAGAAAAAGGAGAGATCAAGAAGGTAGACGTTTAGTAGGGTTGGATAAAAGGAACAGCCGCTGTCATTTCAACGTGAGAGTGACATGTTATTGGCTGTTATTACACAAAAGCAGCTAAATTTGACAAGACAAGAAGGCAGAACACAAAATGTAAACTCTTATAATAAACGAGGGGGGGTTCAATAAGTCTTTGCGTCTGGGTATGAAGGAATCATAGTAGAGTAATGAAATTTCGCCAGCCTTTAGACAATTTCTTTGGAACACACCTTGTAAATTTTCAGGAAAATCCGGTGATAATAAGGCACTAGTCAGCGTGTTCAGTGATACAATAATCAGAAAAGTTTGTTTTTCCTTGCTGAAGCTGAGCCATGGAGTCTGTTGAGTATTTTTTATACTTGCAAGGAAAATCCCCTTCAAACATTTTTCAGGAAATAGACCAAGTTCAAGGTGACAAATGTCCTCATTATAATACTATGACACACTGGATAAGAAAATTCCAATCTGGATTCATGTCAGGAACGGATGAAAATCGTGAATGGTGCCCATCCTTTGTGGTAACTGAAGAGAATGAATCCATAGTGAAGAAAATGGTTTTACAAGACCTACGTATAACTGTTAAACAGCTCTCAAGTGAAACAGGAATCTGTGTAGGGTCAATTGAAACAATTCTCCATGACCATGGTAACATGAATAAGATGTCTGCACGGTAGGTACCCTGTGTTTTGAAAAGTGAGCGAAAGAAGCAGAGCGTTGAGTCATGCAAAACTCTCCTTCAAATTGAGTCCAGTGACAAAAATTTCTTTAAAAACATGGTGACTATTGATGAAACATGGATTCATCATTTTGATTTAGAACAAAAAATGTCTTGCATGCAATGTAAAATCCATTCTTCTCCCTCAACAAAGAACGTTAAGGTAACACCGTCAAGTGGAAAGGTCATGCTGTCGAGTCTCTGGGATTGTGAAGGTATCATTATGACTGACTACCTAAAAAATGGAAAAACAGTCACAGGAGACTACTACTGGGGTTTGTTGATAAAATTGCGGTCCAAAATGGTGAGAAAAAGGCGTGGAAAACTCTGTAATGTGGTCCTCCTACTGCATGACAACGCTCCTGCGCACAGGGCACAACAAGCAGTCCAGACAGCAGAACAGTGTGGCTCTGACATCCTGCCACACCCAGCTTATTCACTAGATCTAGCCCCCCTCAGACTTTTTTTGTTTCCTAATAGTAAAAAATCACACAAAATACATTGTTTCCATGACAACGAGGACGCCATTAAAGCTGATGAAGACTGGTTAGGGGCCCGTTCTGGGCCATTTCTCTCTCAAGGAATTTTGAAGGTCAAAGAGAGGAGGCAGAAATGTATTACTCTGCATGGTGACTATGTAGAGAAATGAAAGTATGTGTGCCAAGTTGCAAAGTTCTATCTTTATTCCTTCATATTTAGACCAAAGACTTCTTGAACCCTCTTCAGACTTGAATTACATCACTGAGACATACAGCTATAATTATTACTGTACCAATAACATCAGTAACAACAGCAACAATGACAGCAGTTAAAGAAACAACCATAAATCCTGTAATAACAACTGAAATAATAACAGATTCACTTTTAAAATACAATAGAAAAGTTAAGGTAATAACATATAAAGCAAACAAAAGAAAACCAACAATAATCAAGTAGCAAAAATAAAACAACAGTAACAACAACAACAACAAAAAAGACCCCTCACGGCATACAAGTACCAGAACCTACATCCATCTCCCTCTTGTTCTCCTTACGGAGAGCTTCCATGGCCTTCGAGTGCTCTCTGTTCGTGCTCGCCATCTCCTGGTTCCGTTCTTTGGTCAGTCGCATCTCTGGGGGGAAAAATGCCCAAAATTTGGGATTTTTAAAATTTTCAAATGTTGTGAAAGAACCCAACTAGATATACTAGACACGAGTAAATGTCCATCATTTTGAAGGTCTAATCTAGAGAATTCCAGGTGTTGCTGGTTTATTCTTAAGTCTAACAGGACTGCTGACATGCTGGCACCAACAAAAGTAAGATTTATGATGTTAAGAAAGAAAAGAAAAAAGGTGTATCACGACGTTGTTGAATAAGGCCCTCGTCAATTTTTGGGCATAACGGGATTGGTATTATCTTAAAGCCTGTTTATTTGCCTTCCTTTTGATGAAAAAAAAATCCATCTATCTTGAATAGACGTCGAGACGTTTGCGATTGAAGAAGGTGTATGTCGCCTGGATACAGAGGTAAATTTGCGAGAAAACAGCAGCCAAAGTTAGGTAACTTCCATAGTTTTAGAGTCCTTGGAAATGAAAACTTACAATGTTTGTGTCTTAATCAACGTGTTCCATTAAAACCCAAACAACAAAGTATTTTTAAAGACAAAAAAGTGTTGAGCCAAAAAACAAAAATTTGAAAAAAATTGTCAATCAGGAAGAAAAATACCATTTCCTTCGATTTCATTATTTTGATGGGCGCCTGATTTCAACACGCTGCTTCACATATGTAATAATAATCTTTTTTAATGGCATTTGTGTAGCGCATCCCCCCACTCGACAGCAAGCTCTGCTCACTTTACACTATATTACGTACAAAAAAATATAAAAAATTAGACACACTGAGTGGGTAGTTGGCGGGGACTCTGGTGTAGTTTGCTCCTTCTTTCCTCTTAAATGTCTATCCTCCTGATCTCTCCTTCTTTTTTGTGTTTGTTACTCTCTTGTAACACATCTAATCTTCGGTACTTAATATGACCTTATTGTGTTGAAAGTGCCATAAAATTGTTACTAAAACTAAGCTTAAAATACTCACTGAGATCGTGCAACGCCTGCTGTTTTTCGTCGGCACACTTCTGCTTGAGCTCGGCCTCTCGGCTGTTCCACTTGTCGGCAGTCTCCATGTGCAGCGTGCTCTTGTACGACTCAAACGCCCCCTGTAGGAATTCTATCTCCTTGGCCATTCGAGCTGGTGGGGGGTTACAAATGTCAATGGCAATAACAATAACAATATCAATAACAAGAAAAAAGATAATAAGAAAAAAGTACACATGTAATAATATAGTAATAAATGACAGTAACAACGACAACACAATAACAATAACTTTTAATAATTAAAATATAAGTATAATAATAATTATAATAATGAATAACTAGGAGGAGGAGGAGGAGGAGGAGGAGGAGGAGGAGGAGGAGGAGAACGTTTTAAATGATAATAAAAATGATAAAAATAAAAATGTTCATAGAAATAATCATTATCGTTTCCGTAATAACAATGATCATAAAGGTTATAATTGTAATAATGACAATATATCTGATAACAGGTTTTTTTTTATTATTGCGTGGTAAAAAAATATAATATTATTTTTATTTTTAAAAGAAGTTTTTCCACTTTGCACTTTAGTTGAAAAAAAGGGGAAGTGAGACCAAGCAAGAGAAAATCTCACCACTGAAATTTAAAAAATACCCCCCTCTCCAGCCTTGAAATTTTTAAAACATCAAATAACCCAAAAATTACCCAGCACCAATGGGTTGGAATTTTTTTTAAACCCTCAAGAGAAATAGAATAAACTAAAAGTAGGAAGATGTGGGGAGGTGAGGTGATAGAGGGTAAGCACTGACCGATCTGTTTCTCCAGGGAGGCCTGTGCCTCTCTGTGGTCCTCCTCCATCTGTCGCTTCTGTTTCAGCATGTCCTCGCGGTGCTCCAAGTCCATGTCCCTGGGGAACACAGTCGAGCGCGCCATAAAAAGGGATCAGGATTAACTTGGCGGCCATGCACAATTAGAAGATGAAGAAGAAGAAGAAGAAGAAGAAAAAGAAAAAAAGAACAAGGAGAAAAAGTAGAAGAAGAAGAAGAAGAAGAAGGAGAAGAAGAAGGAGAAAAAGAAGGAGAAGGAGAAGAAGAAGAAGAAATTACACTTTTATTGATCCCAGAAGGGCAATTTGGTTTTACAAAATACATACATACAATACATACATACATACAACATACACACACACACACACACACACACACACACACACACAGAGACAGACAGACAGACATACAAGTTAACTCTTTCCGGCTGTATCGCCATTATATCGGCTGTGATAGCCTACCTCAGTTTGGTTTAGTTTTAACACGATCCGTCATTTATAATTACTGTATATTGCTCTTGAAAAACTCGGAAAGGATTTAGAAAATGAAAACATCAAGTTTCACTTTGTCAAAGCATGGGTTTGGGGAAAAACGAGTGAATTAGTTCTTGCGGTCTTGCATCAACAAAACGATGTAACTGGACTCAGTATAAATTTCAAAACTCAAACAAAAATTGGAATATTGCTTTCAAATAAAAAGCTGCGCATTCAGAAATTTAAGGATTACACTCTTGGCCTGTATAAGATAAGATAGCTATGCTGATTTGCTTTCACAAGTTTGGTGAATGTAAATTTTTCCGTCAAAATTTATTTTTCTCATCACCATCGCCATTTCTAACCCTTCGAAAGCATACTTAGTTCAAAAGTAATCCTTGCTTCATTCAATTTTCTTCAATTTGATACATCATATTATTATGTTACGTTTTAAGTGATGGTCTTCTATGAAGTTATTTTGTACACCACCTGCATAGCCAAATCGAGCCACAAGTTAATTAGGTCTAGACCCCCAAAAAACTATGTTAAAATCGTCCACAGTGTAGAACCCAAAATGTTTGTCTTGTCTACCAACGGGATAACTAACTACAACACAAAGATTCTTATCGGGCCAAATGATGGTTAACTCTTTAAACCCCATCAGACGCTGTGTCCGATACTAGTGACAACTGTTTCCTTTAATAATTTAGTGCTAATCTTTGCTTGTTTTTTGGGAACTATTACCGAACCAAGATTTTTAGTAATGACTAAGCCTTTGTTTCCAACCTTTAGAAGTTGGAGACAATCTTTTGGGGTTATACTGAGACATACTGCATCTGGTTTAAGTGACTGTAGAAAAAACTCTGGGAAACGGTGGAAAAACTCTTGGTTTAAAGCGTTAAACTTACCGCACATGTTCCTGATGGGTGGAGGTCATCTGGTCAACTTTATCCTTGAGGAACTCTTCAGACTGAGAGTGGGGATGGGGGTGTTACGGGGTGGGGAAAAGTGTAGACAGAAAATAAGACTAAAGATTTGAATATTATTATCTCATATAACTAAATTTTAATATGTCTCAAAATAGGTGGCAGTGACTGAACATTATGCACAGAACAAAAAAGAAATTATGTAAAGTAAATATTCAGTGTGTTAGTCAAAAATAAATTAGCGATCAATGTGTCTTATGCTCATAAGTTGCAGGCATATATTTTAGGAAGGTTCAATTCCTACATAGTAGACCGACTTGCGAAAAAATCTATACACAAAAACACACATATTATACACTACATGACACAGACACACACAACACACACACACACACACACACACACACACACACACACACACACAAACACACACACATACATTATCACACACAAAAAAACACACCAAAAAAAAACATACAAAAAATACACACATACCGCATGCGCTGACAAATAGATTACTATATAGGAAATGTAGCTAACGAACAAAACAGTGCAGGTCAACCTCTAATGTATTTGTCTGGCATAACTTCGGTTAATCATTGTTTAATTATGTAATATTAATTACACTGAAGAAGATTATAATGGTGATGACGATTGATGAGAAAGATGATGATTACTAGATACAAAGTTGAGGTGGAAGAGGAGGAGAAAGAGGAGGAGGAAGAGGAGGAGGAAGAGGAGGAGGAAGAGGAGGAGGAAGAGGAGGAGGAAGAGGAGGAGGAAGAGGAGGAAGAGGAGGAGGAGGAAGAGGAGGAAGAGAGGGGAGATGAGGAAGAAGATGATGATGAAGAATGCAGAGAAAGATAACAATTACCAAGTACTGAGTAGAAGAGGAGGAGGAGGAGAATGGTGATGAAGAAGTTCGCCAAGTAATATGACAATTACGAACTCTAAATTGAGGAGGAGGAGGAGGAGGAGGAGGAGGAGGAGGAGGAGGAGGAGGGGGAGGAAGAGGAGGTTGGGAGGAAGACTGTGGTCGGGAAACAAAACAAGCCTACCTCTCTGGGTCTCCCTGTGGCTTTTTTCTGCAATACAAAAAAAAATTGAAAACAAACGGGGATGAGTAAATTACGTGAGGTCAACAGATATGACAGCTATCTGAGGTGGGGTCTGCCTGAGGGGTATGTTTAAAGACAAGGGCCAAAAACAGTGACCCAAAACAGGTTGCTGCACAGGTTTTTCAACCAATTGATAGGCTCTCCTAAAAGCAGAGGAATAGTCCCCCCCCCGAAATTAACTCATTCCACATTCCTTCAGAACACAAAAAGAAACTTCGATGTCCGTTTTCCTCAAATTTTTTTCTAAACTAATAAACAGTCATTATCATCCAGTTTCAGATTTGCTACAGACATCGGTGATCATTGTTCTCCACTCATTTCTTCTCTCGGATGATCTTAAAAAAGCTACGTTGCCCTGATCTTTCCAATTTACCCATTTGTTTAGGTTCCCTAAGTAGGTTGCTCTGGGCCTATCCCTGCCTCGTTTGCCTTCAATTTTGCCAGTGAGAGTCAGATGTTCAAGACCCTTTGTCTATTCAAGACCCTTTGTCTATTCCCAAAAACTTCATTTGTCGTTCCTGATTGTTTTTACTAGTGAGCATCCCTCGGTGCGCCAACAGTTGACCCAGTTGTTTCATTTCAGTAAAAATGTGGTGAAGTTATGTGAGATACTTTTTTAGCTTTGTGGTAGATGATTCTGTTACAAATAGGGCTAAAAAAATTGCGTAGCCCCCAGACATTGCCATTTCAAAATATTGATTAAATAATAAGTATTTGGACAAATTAGAAGTAGTTTTCTTTTTCTTTGAGAGCATTTCTTTCTTTCCCTTGATGCATTAAAAAAAATTATGATAGCTTTCAGTCTTTTTTGTAGTTAACGCTTCAATGTACCCCATATGTGTCAGGCTGCAATGGTTCTTGGATGAAAAATAGCACAGGTTCAAGTGAGTTAACCTGCTGTGAAGAGAAAACAGGCCTACGATTTGTAAGAGTTAAATGAACCTAACAGTGTAAAAAGAGGCGGCTACACCTATACAGTTCCGGGGGAAGGGTTGGTTGGAAGGGGGGGGGGGTTGTTTTCATTACTTATTATTCTCCTCGAAGATCGGATCGAAGAACTCGTCCTTGATGGTCACATGACACTTGGTCTTGCTTCTGGACAGGATGTAGCCGGGCCCCACCACAAAGGGAACCAGTGGAGTCTGAAGAGAGGAGGCAAACACAGAACGTTGGTACATGAATCAGGGGGGAGGGTGGGGAGGGGGGGAGGGTGGAGATTGAGTTCGTGCCGGTAAGTGGGGGGGAGGGGGAAGACTGGGGAGTCTTAGTTTTAGTTTTAGTAAGGTTTCACTGCGTTTTTTACTGCATAAGGTCATATGAGCGCCAAGAGGTGGATGTCAACAGAGAAGTCCAAACGGGGAATCTGGCTTACTCTGCTCACCTCTCTAGTCTCAACAGCAGAAAACCTGCTTCGACTATCAAGGCACCGCAGAAATAGCAGTCCACAAGAGAGTGACAAACATACCAAAGAAGTAGAAGAAAGGTGACGAAAAGTGAGGGTAAGGAAAGAAAAAGCAGCAGTTCGCCCTATGTTGCTCCCGCACAGTGGGGAGTCTGTGTTGGTGGGGGTGGGAAAAAGG